AAGCAAAAAAAAATACTTTAAATATTTTGTGTTTAGTTGGGCTAAATCTCTAACCAATTTCTCCATTCATAAAAGGTGTTTCAATTTTAACATCATTTATCAAACTTGAAGGTCCCTTCTATAATAAGCACAAGTGATAATAGACATATTACAAGAAATTAGACATGCAAACTTTCCAAAAATTAAACAAAATTTTATCAAATGAAGGTCATCATGTGATTGAATTTCCATTCACAGTATTATGATTTCTAAAGTTAGCCATTAATCATTTTTCAAAACTTTTCTAAAACTTAAGTTTTTAATCATGCTCTGATACCACTTGAAAGTTTGTGAAAGTTGTTAAACCTTTAAAAACTAGTCCGAGACTAACAAAGAGGGGGGCAAATTGAATATTTTAAAAAAATCTTTAGGGAACAAGAACTACTTTTTTTTTTTACTTTTGACACCCACACATAAGAATCAACATGGTGGATGCAAAATAAGCAAATTACACTACAACAAAATAAATCAGATTTTTTAACCACACATATAAGTGCAGAAAAATAATGTGCATAAAATAATCAGAATGAACCCACCAAAATTTATAGTGGTTTAGTGAACCTGACCTACGTCAACTCCATGGAGACTCCCTCTCCAAGTATTGTACAAATAATAATGACTCTCCTTTTGCTCTCACATCAAGGTAGAGAAGCCTGTACATATACTATTTCACTAACCCGGTGCAGCAAAGAACCGTGACTATCTTACAGGTAGAGAATATCAACATTATTTTCACCCTTCAGGTGATGAAAAGAGAACCATAACTCTATTTTCACCCTCCAAGTGATGGTTAGAGATCCATGATCATTATTAAATAACTTTTTTTCCATATCCTTAGAGAATCTAGGCAGACACTTATAAATACTAGGTAAGACTCTTTCTTGGAGAAACCTTGTGAATCCCCTCATAACTTCTCGTTCACAAAATGTTCCTCACTCCACTCATAAAGCCCTCCTCTCCCTCAAGACTCTCTTTTGAAGTCTAAATAACCAAAGATTTTCTAATAAGAGTATAAGAGAACTTTAAGTTGTGGGCTTTAAGATATCCTAATTTTTAAGAGTTTCATGTTCTATTTGTACAATATAATGCACATATCATACCGTACGATTAGCATAATTAACACTCATCCAATAAGTTCATGTAGAGGAACTGTTCAACCTTTATAACACTTCGTACAGTACGAACAAAAGATTGTCTAATACAATCAAAAAATTGTCTGATACAAAGTGTAGAAATTTCTTCTTTTTATTTGGTATGACTCCTTGGAAGACCAACTTTGCACACTTTCATTCATCCAACACTATGGACATCGTAAAGTACAATAAATAAAAAATTTATATATTTTATTTTGTACAATCTCTAGGATGACCAATTTCATACACTGTCAATCATATTGTACAAACATTATTATACAGTACGATCAGTGATAATAATTATCCATCATTTGATTGCTTGATATTGAGGGGTTAATTAAGAAAGATTATAATGAGGGCGTACAGTATGAAAAAAATCATATCGTATGATCAGCACATATTTAGTATATTTCTTAACCTCTAGCGGCTATGGTTTTAACTTAGCATAATAGATTGTATAGTACAAATTAAACTCTTACAGTACAAAATAAAGTTGCATATTATGAAGCCAAAATTGCTCAATACGATCTACAAAAAAACTTTGTCAAAAACATTTTTCTCTCTCCCCTTTTATGTGTGCAAGGATACTCAGCAATACTATCCACCTAATTACATGATATGACTCAAGAAAAAAAAATACATAACAAATTGAAAAGTACATTTTGTAACCTTAGTCTACCCAATCTTGAGCTGGTCAAAATTAAAAGTTAACGATGGACAGATTTCCTGAAACACTAGTACACACAAAATAAAACATAAAATCACTAAATTAGGAGAAAGGAGGAACATATATAATAATGTTTATTATCATCAAAATTATAATGATTGGATCATATTTGTAATAAAGAATACTTAATATGTTAGACTACTCAATTTTTCTCATACTACTTTAGCACAATGTCAGAATCGAAAAGGTCTACTACACCAAAAAATATTTTTGTAACCGAGATATATATTCACCTACTAGTAACATATAAATATTAAATAAAACTAAAAAGGAAGTAGGAGTTTGATGCGGTTTGAAATCTAGAGAGAGAAAGTTCGCCGCCTGGTTTGAACTTGGGTTTCGCAGGTTTTCCGCGATCGAAGGTGCTTGCGCCAGTGGTTCGCCGGTGTCTTCCTGCTATTTTTGATGATTGCTCCACGATCATATGGCCCTCTTCGGTCCAATGATAGAGGATCATCTGGAATTGTGATTAGAGAAGGTTTTAAGCCTTTGATTCGTCAAGAACATATTGATGGCAAGGGGAAGAACATGGTGGTAGATGAGTTGGATGCACATAAGAAGATGAATGGAAAATGCATTTTAGGTTTGATGAATCTTGAATCTTCGGCTTTTGAGAATTTGGTTTTACGGGTGACAAATTTTTCCAAGGTTCTTGACGTACAAAAAGGGCGGAGTATTGAGGATGGCTCTGTTTCTTTGGAAAATCGGAAGGATGATTCATTGAAAGGCATTGGTGAAGTTGTTGAGGCTTGGTCAAAACCGATGCCTATCAAGATTACGTTCGATAGAGACCCGATGGAATTTTCTGAGGATGGTGTGGCGGTCAAGTTGAATGCGGAGAGGGAGGCAAAGAATTCTAAAGTATTGAAGAATTTTATTGTACTTAAAGTACTGAGGAATAGTGTGTCATTTCCAGTTTGCAGTTCAGAGCTAAGAAGACAGTGGAACAATTACGACATATTTCATTTAACTTCTATTGGACCGGATTGGATTCTATGTTCGTTCAATTCGGGTGAGGTGGTCGATGAAATTCTGAACAGAGGGCCTTGGTATGTGAATTGACTCATAATTGGTATGGATAGATGGACTCCTGCATTTGATCCGAATTCATTTAAAGGTATCTCTTCCCCTGTGTGGATTAGATTGCCTTTCCTACCGTTGTTTTGTTGGGATGAAGAAAGCATAGAAAGAATTGCTTCTTGCTCTGGATCACAAATGTATGTGGATGGCATTACTTCCGTTGGAGTAAACATGAATTTTCCCGTGTTTGTGTAAGGATTGATTTGGAGAAAAAACTTTTGAATGGTGCGTGGGTTGAAGGTTCTGCTGGGAGGTTTTTCCAATGGGTGGAATATGAAAAAATTGATCTTTTATGTTATCAATGCGGAAGAGTAGGCCATGACAAGAACATATGTCCAGATAATGTCACTCTAGTGATGAAGGATCAAACGTTGAAGAAGATGGATGCATATGACGACAAGGAAAATTGGCTGGACATGACAGTAAAAACTCTGTGGTTAGTACTGAGTATGGCCTCTGGATTCGTGTCCAATTCAGAAACAAACGGTTTAGAAGAGACATTGCCAATAATAAAGGTGTAAAGGATAACGAGAGTAAGCCAGAGCATAGAGTTCTTGATAACCAGCAGGTTATGCAGTCAGAGGAAATCCAGTTGAGAGCAAAGGATGATTTAAATGCTGATATAACAGGTGAAGTTCCATGGAAGGATCCAAACTCAGAAAAGGATGCTGAAGCGGAGATTTGTGTTCAATCATCAAATCAGTTTGCTGTTTTGGTTTAGAAAGAGGGAGGAGAAATTCTGGGGAACTCTGTAAGTAACGTTAAACTGGTGGACAAAGGCCCGAAAACAATTGATTCAGAGGTGAGTCATGTTGCACTGAACTCTAATAGTGGTGATGTCAAGGTTAAGCTAGCCAAGGAATTGAAATCATTGGGACCTGTTGAGAGTGATTATCAAAAAAAGAAGAAGAGGAATGGAAGGTTGAACCCCAGTAGTGGGGAGAGATCCTCTATACCTTTTTAAATTATGTCTTCAATTCTATTTTGGAACTGAAGGGGAGCAAGGAAGAAGGAGGCTTCCTTGTATCTTAAGGAAATGGTTAGAGATGAAGATGTCATCTTTATTGGGCTTACGGAGACTAAGTTGTCTAGCATTGATAGAAGGGAGGTTGATTGTCTTATGGGGAATGATTGGAATTATTTTCACCAACCTGCTGTTGGGACTTCTGGAGGTATTTTGGAACTTTGGAAGGTAAAGTTGGGGTCATTTGAAGTTTGTGAAACTTCTTCACAGGTGATTATTGGTAATCTCTCGGTTCCTAGCTTGGGAATTTGGAAGATTGCTACTGTTTATGGTAGTCGTTGTTGTAAGGAGAGGAGTGGCCTTTGGAATCAGTTGGAAAAGTGCATGGAAAACTCTACTCCTATTATAGGTGGGGACTTTAATTGCATTTTAAATAAGGATGAGAAGAGAGGAGGTAAGAGGTTCTTATTTTCTAGAGGACCTAGAGAAGTGAAAAGCTTCATGGTGAATTCAAATTTTCATGATATTGGTAGTGTTGGACCAAGATTCACGTGGTGTAACAACAAAGAGGGCAATTCTCGGATATGGGAAAGATTGGACAGATGTATAGTGAATTCGGTGGTCATGCAGAAGCTTCCTTTGATAGTGAACAGAAATCTGGCTAGGATGGCGTCTGATCATTGTCCTATTGTGATTAAGATGGATGAAAGGATGCAGTTTAAGTCGAAAACCATTAAGAAGAATGATGTTGGTGATGAATATACGATTATACATAGGAAGCTTAATCGTACCTTGAAAGCTTTATTTTTTTTGGAGAAAAAACAAATGCAAAGACCTGAATGTGTTAAAAGAAAAACTGAAGAAGGAGATCCTTGATTTGTAAAATAAGGAAGCATTGAATATTAATTGGTCTGCTGATGATCTTTTTGAACTTAGAAAAAAAGTACATGAACGTAATGTTACTTTGAGAAGACTTTCTACTTGGTGGAACCAAAGAGCTAAGGCTAGGTGGCATGAGGAAGGTGATGCAAATTCCAACCTTTTTCGTAGCTTTGCCATGGCTAGAAGGAATGGAAATCATATTTTTCAAATCACAGATGAAGCAAACAAGCTGCATGAGGAGGAGGATCAAATTGAGAAGGTTTTCACAAGTTTCTTTAAGAAGAAATGGAAGCATAGGGAGTGTGAGGTAACGGGCTGGCCATTAGTTATGTAAAATCAGAAGTTAACTGTTGAGGATATGGATATGTTTAATGCTGAATTTACTGTGAATGAGCTACAGATTTCGGTGTTTCAGCAAGGGAACAACAAGGCTCCAGGTTTGGATGGCATCAATTCCTCCTTCTACAAGAGTTATTGGAACATTGTATGGGAAACTCTATGGAATGTTGTAAGAAGTTTCTTCAATTCCAGTCATATGAATAAGGAATGGAAAGACACCTTGATTGTCTTAATTCCTAAGATTAAGAATCCCTTGACTCCTTCTAATTTTAGGCCCATTAGCTTATGTCAAACCAATTATAAGATAGTGGCTACTATGTTAGTTAACAGATTGAAGAGGGGTATTTCTAAGATGATTTTTGAAGAGTAAGCTGCCTTCAACCATGGAAGATCCATTGCTGAACATTGTTTGTTAGCTCAAGAGATTTTCCATAAGTTCAAACTCTCAAAGAACAAGAAGGGGTTGATGGCTGTAAAGCTTGATATGGATCAAGCATATGATAGCATGGGATGGACAACTCTTCGGCATATTTTAAGATGGTATGGTTTTCCTACCATTTTCTCTAATCTTCTCTTGGAATGTGTTGTATATGTGAGATTTTTTGTTATTATCAATGGGAAGAATTCTGAATGGATTAATGCCCAGAGTGGATTCCGTCAGGGATGTCCACTTTCACCATACTTATTCATCATGTGTTTTCAATTGATTTCAAATTCACTAGAGCTAAGGGGGAAGAGTATTCGCATTCAAATTTCAAGTAGAGGACCGAAGATCACGCATTTGCTTTATGCAGATGACACTCTCACTTTTTCTCATGCATCTGTTGATCTTGCTATAGTTATGAAGACCATTATGGAGAAGTTCTGTATGTGGACTGGGCAAAAAATTAATGTTAGTAAATCTCAGCTGTTGTTCGGCAAGGTGGTCAGTTATCATATGAAGAAGAGGATTGGCAGGGTTCTTGGCTTCAGAATAGTGAAGGAAATGAAGTACTTGGGAGTGAAAATATCACTAGATAGAATTAAGATGGCTGATTACCAAGAGATTTTAGCAATGCCATGGATAGACTTAATGCTTGGAGTAGGAAGTCTTTATCTTTGGGACTTAAATTGAGTCTCATTGAAAGTTCTTTGCTTTCTATGACTAATTTTTTAATTACTCAGTCTTTGGTACCTAAGATGTTAATACATGAGCTGGAAAAATTGTGTAGAAGCTTTATTTGGAATAATAGTGATGGAACTAAGGGGATGCACTATATTTCTTGGAGTAATATTTGCAAACCAAGGTGTTTGGGAAGATTGGGCTTGCTTTCTCCTCTACATAGAATTAGATCTTTAAGATCCAAAGTGACATGGAATTATATTCAGAAGCCTTATTCTTTGCTTCACCGTGTTATGAAAAATAACTATGGGGATAATGTGATGAATGGAGCTCAAAGGAACATCAATTCAAATGCTTGGAAAATTCTGTTGGATGGTGGGAGTAAGCTGAAGATGGAGGTTCGTTGGAAGGTGGGTAGTGGAGATACAATCAGTATTTTAAATGACACATGGCTTCTTGATAGGTGTATTAATCGCTGGCTGACTTTTGCTGATTACAATTTCCTGGATGGTATGAATGTGCAGTAGTTGAAATTCACCAACGGTATGTGGAATTCTGATTTGTTACAAAGGGCATTTCATTCAGACCTTATTTCTTTAATTACTCAAATTCCAATTGAGCATTGTGAGGAGGACTAGAAGGAGTTGATGAAGATGTGCTCGGGAAAGACTGTGTCTGCCTTGGTGTATGAACAGATGTGGGTCAACAGATGCAATTTGGAGAATGTGGAGTATTTCAGCTGGGTAAAGAATTTGAAGATGAATACGAAAATTGAAATTTTATGGTGGAGGTTGGGTAAATCAGCTATTCCTACTAATGTGTTCCTCATGAACCAAAAATTTTTAGATAATGCTCTTTGTGTTAGAGGATGCCATGTTAATGAAACTTATGAGCACATTATGGTGCATTGCAAATATTTGATTGAAATCATTATGAAGCTGAGGGAGTGGGTTATTTTTATTCCTATATTTCATTCACTGGATTGCTGTTTAAAGGACCTAAAGAAGATGTCTACCAAGAATTCTGGGATTGTTCGGATGTATTGCTCTATTATGTATTATTCTTGGAAGAACCGGAATGATATCAAGAATGGTAGGTATGCTCTGTCATGCTCTATTATTGCTGCTAATGCCCTATTTTTTACAGTCTCCAAATCTGGTCCATTTCACTCTAGCTGGGGTACTAATCTCCTTAGGGAGTCTCAAAGAACTTGGTACCTTCCACCGAAAGAATGGATTAAGGTTAATGTAGACGATTCTTTGACAAGCTCTAATCTGGCTTGCATTGGAGGAGTTTTCCGTGACAACAAAGGATGGTTTATTAGTGCCTTTGGAAAGAATGGAAATCATTGGGATATTGGTCATCTTGAGCTACAAGCAGTCCTCACGGTTAAGGATTATTTGAGGAGCTGGATGTTGGAATATAAAGGGCTAATCATAGAGAGTGATAATATCAATATTATCAAATTCATTCAGAATTTTTTAAAGAAGAAAAAAAAAAAAAAGGAAAATAAGGAGATAAGAGTTACACTATTGCACACACTACTTAATTATGCTAAAGTTGAGCCATATATCAAGTAAGCTTCATTTAAAATTCTATACATTCTACAGAATCCAACATAGATGCCCTAAATTAAAAATTTGTGTAGAAAGTTCATTAATGGTCAGAATACAATATCACAATTAGAGAAAGAAAAGAGAGTAGAATCTAAATTTCCAGATTTATTCCAAAAAAAGGTATGCATTTTGACAAGTCACTTCAACCTTATATATATTTAATTAACTTAATGAAAATAATAGTAATATATATATATATATATATATATATACTTTCTATATATACTTTCTATATATACCAAGTTCACAATAAAGCTAGAGATTTATAAGACAAAGGTTTAATGAGCCCAACATGGGGACCTATGAGAGTAGTGAAATGTGTTGATTTCTTATAGGTTGTTAAACCTAAGCTATTGTTCCAAGGCTTACCAAAAGGGGGGGTGAATTGGTAATTTAAATTTTTTTTTGGATTTTTTAAATAGAAAACTGATTTAAAGTTTGTAGAAAGTTAAATTAAGTTTCAAAATAAAACTTTTCAACCATGATAAAAACTTTTAGAAAATAAAATGTGGAAATTTAAAAGACACAAAAGTTTATAGTAGTTTGTTCAAACATTACCTACATCCACTACCTGAAGACTCCCTCTTTAGGTATTACACATTACCAAAGTGACCCTGCTTTTGTCCCCCCAGTAAAGCGGAGAAGCCTTAACAAAAACCTCTCTTCCACCAATCCCTAGCGCGGTAGAGAATCTTCATCCTTTCACACCCTCCAAGTGTCGATAGAGAACCGTCATCTTTTCACACCCTCCAAGTGTAGATAGAGTACCTTCGTCCTTTCACACCTTCCAAGTATAGACAGAGTACCATCATCCTTTCACACCCTCCAAGTATTGGTAGAGTACTAGATCTTCTCTAAACATCTTATCATGAGCAACTAGAAAGATGAAAAGAAGTGTAAACATCAAAATCATAAAGAGATCCTTACTTTTGAGTAATCTTGTGAACCCTTCACACTCCACTTGCACGAAATCTCTCTCAAACACTCTCAGACACTCTTTTTTTTAATTTCCCTTGAAAAATTACAAAAATAAGACTTTTTCATGTCAATTTTAGTGGACCTTTTATATCAAAGACACAAAAAACTATCTAGAAAACTAAAATTTTCAATTTTGAGCGCACATGATCGTGCAGTACAATTATATGTTCATACATACAAATAGTTTAAAAACTATTGCGTACGAACCTATTACGAATTAGTATGAAATGAATTCATACATGATCATCATTCGGTAATAACCAACTTCATTCAGGGTGAATAGTTAGAAATTTTTTCAACTTCGTTTGGATGAAGAGGAACCCCACAAATTTGTACCTTTTATGGCATATGTACCATGATGACATCATAAGGTATGATTAGTTATGAAAATTTTCAAGTTCATCGAGACAAAGAGGGACCCATCTAATTGGTACCCTGGACGACGTACGTATGATGATAACATCGAATGGTATAAACTGTTTAGAAAATTTTTAAGCACATCTGGACAAAAAGGGACCCATCAAATTCATATCTTAGATGACATATGTACGATGATGACATTGTATGGTATGAACCATTTAGAAAATTTTCAAGTTCATTTGAATGAAAAGGAACCCATTTAATTTGTACCCTGGACGGCATATGTACGATGATGACATAGTACTATATAAACCATTTAGAAAATTTTCAAGTTCATCTAGATGAAAAGGGACCCGTCTAATTCTTACCCTGGATGGAGTACATATGATTACGAAATCATACAGTATGATCCAGAATTAGAAAAAGTTTCTCCTATTTGTTCGTTTGATTGCTCAAAGGGAAAATAACTGATCAGATCATCCCATATAAAAGGACATTTTACAGTACAATCAGTTTAAAAATTATAATTTTAAACTCTCCCTCGGTGTGTATGCGCACAATTACTTAATTACAATCACACTCTCTCAGACTAAATAAAATAAAAAATATAGACTTCATTTACAGTAAACCCTAAACGGCTATGATTTGAAGTCTTCAACAATCCAGAGTATGATTTCCCTGAAATATTAGTACACACAAATAAAAAAATAATTCTTTCAAAATATGTTAGGAGAAATAATAATCAAAACAATAATATTTGGAATTATCAAAAATATACAAGTTGCAAGAATATCAACAATCAAGAACTAGGTAGCAACTATCTCAAAAGTCTTCCCATTTTTTATGATAGCAAAATAATTATAATTTAAATAAAATTGAATACCTTATATTTCTCCATAACTCCCCCTAAATGAATAAACATGTGAAAGTGAGGGAATTCCTTTAAGAATAAACTTTTTTTTTTCATAAATAACAAAACACAAAAGAAAAACAATAAACAGAGCACAAACCCAAAAGCAAAACAACAAACCCAGAAACATAAAAACATTAACACATTAACACAAACAACAACACTAACTCACCAAATAATATACAAGATTACTCCCTCTTTTTATAGCAAGAAAAGGGAAATAAAAAATTTGAAATGAAAGAAGTCATATGAGAAATCTTAGTAATTGATCTTGAAAGAGATTCAACTATAATTGCAATAATAAAATTAATAACCATTAGATAAAAAAGAAAGATTCAAAACATTTAAGTTAAAGTATAACATAAACAAGAAAAAGTGATCAAGGTCATGAAGCATTCTAGACAATTAGATAAGGGGAATTATTACAAAAGTGTTGAAATGAAGATTAAATAATTTTAATTTTAAATACAAAATATAATTGAACACTAAATAGATTTGAATTTGAAGATTAAATGATAGAGAAAAGAACAAATTCAATTTGGTGATATTGTGCATCTTTTTTAAGAATATGTGGCACACTTTTAGCATCTTTTTGTATTTGGGATAATTTTATGCCTCTTTTCAATTTGCGAATCACTACGCATTCTTTTGATTTTTATACACATTATACATTTCTTTTTTATACTCTATTTTTTTAATTGATCTTTCCAAAATCAATAATCTATAAAATCAAATTTCTCTAATTACAAAGATAATTATATTGAAAAGAGAAAATAAAAAATAATAAGACATAAAAAATGCAATAATAATATTTAAATAATGTTTGGCTAAAAATAACATGAGATTGATAGCCTTAACTTGATCGAGTTATAAGTTAACTTAAATTTTGAAAAATTAAATTTCATGATGAAATTAATTTTTGTATTGTAATTTAATTTATAACACTTTTTGGATCAATTAAGACGGGATTAACATATAGGCAAACTTACATTCCAAATAATGAATGAAATAAACTAATAAAAGAAGACATTTTTTATTGATATCAATTTAAAGAATAAATACATTGAAGCAATTTTGATATCAATTCATAAAAATAGAAACAACATAACATCAAAATTACACAAATCACTGAACAAACACAAATACAAAAACCACAAAAACCATCACTAAGATCATCACATCTCAAAGGACTGGCTTTGACAACACACAACAAGTATATATATAACTCTGAAGGGCCCTGGTCTGGAGGAGGAGGTTGGTTGAAGATTGAGAAATAGATATTCATCATAGCTACATTAGGATTCACTGAGTCAAACTGACCTCGGATCCAACTTATGTCTTGTTGGTACTATACATCCTGCTGATTTAGGTGTTTGAATTTGATCAAAAAGTTGATTAAAATGACTTTTTAATTAGTCAAAATGTTGAACCATCTCCTGAAAGTTAGGTCCATAAGCAGGTGCAGGTGCTCCCCCTTCTTCCTGAGTATCCTCACTAGAATTGTCATTACTTCCAAAAAGTGCTCAAAGATGCATCTGTGAAGTAGATTGGTAATTCAGTGGGACCATCAAAATAAAAAATGTTGTACTTCTTTTCTAAGACATAGGTCCCTAGATGTCTTAAAGCAATATTTTTCTTCCTCCTATGAGAGATAAACCCAATTTTAGAAAGGTTATGAATGTAGTATATAATGAGTTAGGCTTCATCAATTGGTTGTCCAATCATGATTAGATAGTTATTAGTGGAAAGAAGAGGAGTATTGTTTATGTGATCACCAGCCTTCGGAATGATTGAAGTTCTAAGGACATGTTGGACGACCCTTGCATTTTGATTTAGAGTATACACTCTAGTCAAATAACCAACTTGAGTGACCCCTCTAAGAGTTTTATTTATTTCTGACCAATCATAGTCAGATTTGGAAGTCATAGTGCGAGCTCTAGTACCTTGAGTCCTTAAATACAGAAAAGTTCCTAGATCCTTCATAGTAATTTCTACCTATTTCTTTTTGACAAAATATGTTGTCCTACTCTCATCCTCACTAAAACTCAAGTTTGCCAAAAAGTGGTCAAATTACTCTTTATTGTAAGCAAGGATGAGAGTCATAATGAAGGCAAACTAGGTTAAGGAAAAAAGAGGAATGATTTGAAAATGTATATCCTCTTGAATTAAGAGTCTAGGTGAAGTGATTTTTGCAATGACAAACTTATAGTAAGAGTCCTCTTTTTTTCTTGACAGAAAGTATTGATCTCCACCCCTAGATGATGAAACCTTAGGGACTCTACCGCGCTTCTTTGAACTGGCCACTTCTAAAATGAGAAGGATTGGAAGTGGCTATTGAAGTAAATGAAAAAGAATTCTAAAGCCCTCCTATTAAAAAAAAAAGATCTTTCATACGTATGAAAAAGATTCCTACATTACGATTGATGGTTTGTACATACGAACTAGGGGTTCATACGTACGATCAGTTATAATAACTGATTCTTCTGAGATAATCATCTAGGTGTGTACTTATGAATGAATACACATCATCCAGGATGATATAAAAATAGTACAGTACGATATGTATTGGAAAAAAACAAAACTTTACATAATCAGTCCAAACTAAGGATCGACATTTTACCCAAGAGGGGGGTTTCCCCCCCCCCCCCCCCCCCACACACACACACACACACACACACACACTTTGAAAGATATAAGGTTCCTTTGTATGAAATATAATTTCGTACGTATGATCAATTATAATAACTTATTTTGCCCG